CTTGGTCCTGGTCTGTGGGACCTTTAAGCCACAGTGCTGTGATTGTAGCAGAACTGTGTGAATACCACAGCCAGTAGCGAGTTTCTGCGGCTTCATTTATCCAGTGCTTAATCACAGCTCCCTCTTACCAATTTAGCAGGAACATGAAGCTCTGCAGCACGCTGCTTTAGCATGTGACAAACCCATGTTTGTTAATAAGAACAAATATATGGGGCAAAAATCACAATTGTCCTTAAAATATTACTTGAATCGTGAGACCAGAAATAACATGCAGGGTCCCTTTAAGTGTAACACACTTTGATCTTAAAAACAAAAGGCAATCAATCCATGAAACTGGGAACATTGGTGTAAAATTACTGCTTTTGTTTTGTTCACAGATGTTTTCTTTTCATGTAGTTCTCCGTGACTGAAAAGTGAAGGATTTGTAGGCCAATTAAAAACGAGGTCACATTTCTAACAGGACAACTCAAATTACTAATCTGAAGAACGAATTAATGTATGTATACATAACCATGGTCAAACTTTGGTAAAAGAAAATAAAAAAGTTGCATCTATTTGGAGTTAGTGTGTTGCATGCCATATAAGCTGATGCTAAAGCCGAATCTTATTCTGAAGTAGTGTTGGTAAGTGTCCCGAGTTTTTAGATTTCTCCATGGTTACTGTATCACAGCAAAGAGCTTGAGATGTTTTAATATGACCCAGTCATGTGAATCACACCAGACCAGTGGCATTACGTAAGGGGGCTGGGACGGGTGGGCCGCTCTGATGGAGAGCTAAGCCCATTTTCTTGGGCTGTGTGATACTTGCTAAAGTATCTTGGTCCAAGCGATAAGAGGCTAATTTCCACGTGTCCCACATGACAGGGGTGACTGAAATCCTTCCACCATTCCTAATTGTTTTTACTCCAAGGGATATTGTAATTTTTCGGTCATAGAGCACCAAATCGTTGATTGCAACACGTGCAACGTTTCTCCTCACACAACTAATGGTCTATCTCAAAGCAAACAGTGGGAATGATTACTGTTAAAAAGTGCATTCCTGAACAGCAGCGAGGGGGGGTAAAGTGAACAACCCAGGAAATAATCTGCTAAATCCTAATCTGTTTGTGAGCTGAGCCACATGAGCAAGACTTCTCTGACTGGGATGAGAAAATGCAAAGAATGAAATATATCTATCTTTGTTTTTTTTGTTTTTTTAATCTGGAGGACTCAAACCTCCATAAAAATCCAAGACAAGAGAAATAAATTATATAAGATGAGGACCTGATAATTAAATTCTTTATAATTCAAGTTATTTAAGTGGAAAAACAAAGAAATAAAAAGAGATCTGCATGTTTTTTTTTTCTAAAATACAAATAAAATTAGTTTCTGGGTCAGATTTGCATCAATTTTTAGTTCTAGCCACAAATCAATAATTAAAGTATAGAAATTGACTAGTCCATTCAAACACATTTCCTTTCAGTTTGATTTGCATTCATTTATTCATATATAGTAAAATTGTAACTAGTGTTGCACCCATACAGATACCAGTATCGGACAGGGCCCCGATTCTGCACTGGTATCTGCGCCAAAAAATTGCATTGGTACACTAACTATAACATAAAACATAGGGGTGTCCTGATTAGGGTTGTCAAAAGTATTGATACTCAAAAAAGTATCGATACTGAAAAGTTGTATCCGGATACAATACTAATTTTCAAAAGTATCGATACAGCAGCCATTCATCTTATGCGCACATTAGAGGAAAATGCACTTTCTGAACACTGTGTGATTGAATAATTCTGTGCAGTTTCAGACTTTTTTCTGTAACAGGTGCAGCTGCTGAGAATTATTTTTGTTTTTTAACCGGTTTGGCTAGTGTCATTGTTATGTGTGTAAAGCATAGCCAAGGAAGGAACACTTAATTTTAATTTTGTAAGTTTTTTATCAAGCTTGCTTAATATTGTGCACAGCAAACAACCTCAAAATATTGTTTATTGTATTTATTTATCTATTTATTGTATTTTGTTTATTAATGAAAAAATTTCTGTTGAATTTTGGAGTCTTTGTTTTTATTCTTGTGGTATCGAAAATGACATCGAGTATCGAATATTTTACTTAGTATCGGTATCGAGTTGAATAGATTAGTATCGTGACAACCCTAGTCCTGATACAACTTCTTAAATCCTGATACAATACCCATATTGCAGCTTTAAGAACTGAGCGATAACAATATTGACCTGGTACGATATAAGCATGGATCATATGTACTTTTACTACTTATTTTGTGGAGTGGAAAGTTAGAGAAAAGGTTGGATGTATTGATATTAAACAGAGAACATATTAACCCATTGATTTTTAACGAATGGGTAACAAACTTTAGGCAGAAATGGGGTATTTTAGCAGCAATAGCAGAGATTTTAGACGCAGGGCTAAATAATTATTTTTTTGGCTTTATACTGAACAAATATCCGATATCTTTATCATATCAGGACATTCCTAATGAAATATCACCATTCATAAATTCAAGATATTTTAAAAGTACCTGCTAAATAAGAACCATTTGTAAATAAGAATATACCGAACATGTTTGGATACAAACTAATCAGCAATTCTGGCTGTATGCTTAGGGATATTTCCCTGCTTGACGAATATTTAGTTCACAACAAGGTTTGATTTATGAACCTGGAAACAATTCTGATTTTTTCTTTTTAAATGAATATAAATCAATGCAATATCTAAGCGTTTTTATCAACAGCAATATAATAACTTGCTGTATAAAATTGCAAAAACAATTCAAACTTACTTAAAAAAAAATATTTAGGTCAAATATGTTAGACAGTTTAATTTGAGTGCAATATTTTAACTATCTGCATTGTTACTGTGTAACTTCTTTGATGTTGTTGGTCATACTGTAACAGGCCTCCCTTGCAAATGTGATATTAAAAAATCTCATACAACCTGTAAATGAATAAAGGTAAAAATAATCAATTAAAAAATAACCATGAAATACTAGATCCAATGAGTGGTAAGAGACAATTGGATTAATCATGATTATTTGATTATTGAAATAATTGTCAACTAATTTAGTAATCGATTAATTGTTTAATTGGAGTGTAGACTCTAAAACATGCCTTTAGCTGACAGAGTGACCCACTTAGAGCAGTAAATATATCAAAATTGTCAAAAAAAAATATGTAAAACCTTTTGCATTTTAGATTTTTAAAAAACTTTTTTGTCTGTCAATATGCTCAGTCCAGAACTCCTCAAGTGGTTGGTTTCACCTGGTTTGATTTTGTAAAAAGTCTTCTTTCAGGAACCTTTGGCTATCTGATTATTAATCGATCAAACTAAAAAAAAAAAATAAATAAAAAAAAATCAACAGATTAATCGATTACCAAAATAATCGTTAGTTGCAGTCTTACAATGAGTGGTAAGAGTTTAATCAAGCCAATCATTTCTACACATCGGGACTGTTCAACAGAATCATTGCTTAACACTTTCTGTAAATGTGTAACAGAAACAAGCATCAATAGCAGAAGTTCTCTACCCATCTCCCTTGTATTTTTGACAAAAGTGATCTTTTTTTAAAAGTAAGCAGACAAAATATTGGTTAACAGAGGGTGGGAAAGACTGAGGCCTCTAAACATGGATATTCCACTTCAGCCCAGCCCAACTTTCCAGTTATATCACTGGCATGCAGAACTACACGATATACGTCCCTACCAAGGATCTGATAGTTTATAAGTTTCTGATATTTTTTCATTAAGAAAATCACCAGTGTTGCGATACAATACGTGTCGCGATACTTGGGTCACAATTAGTGTTGCACCGATAACGATACCAGTATCGGTCGGGGCCCCGATACTGCCCTAAAATGGTGGTATCGGCGAGTACCAACAAATAGCGCACCGATACCATTTTGAGAGCCATAAGTTTATTCAACTATTGTCACCCACTCCTGGTAGGCAATAAAAAGTTCTACTGGATTCACTTTGTATTAGATTTTTTCCTGCTTCACAAGGGTAGGCAGCAGCTTGACAAAGCAATGATGGCAATTATTTTACATTATTATGGTATCAGTATCGGCCGATACTGCACAGCCAGGTATCGTATCGGGGCCAAAAAATGGCATTGGCGCAACACTAGTCACAATACGATATCACGATATTGCAATATCACTACATATTATAATTATATCTATCAAAATTATATGTAGAGATAAAAAAAAACAAGTTCTGTATGTATCAGAAGATATTGATCATTTATTTACTTTGGTCTCCATGTCATTTGGAGTTTTAGTCAGTCCATGCATCAACTACAGAAATTGAGGTTTTTCTGGAGTCGATAATAGAAAATGAAATATCTATATTATATTGGGCAGCCAAAAATGAATAAAAAAGGCAAATAAATTTTTCCCACACCACTAGTAATAAGTGCTGGAATCATATTTAGACAGCTGACAAACTGTTGACGATTATTTCAATAATAGAATAATCACGATTAATCCGATAAATTTTTTCAGTCCTAATCTTAACGTTAGCTAACCTTAGGCTAATGGTCTAGAGCAGCAGTGCTCAAGTCCAGTCTTCTAGAGCTACCATCCTGTAACTCCCCCCGACCACTAAGTTAAAATGGGGACGTGCACGTAGGACGCCTTACGTAAACATATCACCACAACGATTGACAATTAGGAGGACCACTTATTTTGGTGATCCACCCAGGAAAAGAACATTCTCTACTATACCTATAAGATATATCTTTTCTCTAACAGATTTGAATCTAAAGGCATAATCCCCTAATTTAGGTGAGCAGAGGCATGATAGCAAGCCAATCATTGTATTTATGTGTATTTAAAAAGGGGTGCATCAAAAAGTTGCAGGAGAGTAGCTCTTGAGCACACCTGCTGTAGAGGTTGTGGGGGTGTTTAACCTCAACAACCGTGATCAAGCACAGGTGAGGCTCATTAGAGTTGCATTTGTAAGTGCTGAAGCAACACACTGTTAAATGGTTCCAGCCTACCTGAAGCAGAGGATGATGCAGGGTGATTTCCAGCTCTGCCAGCCTGTGGGCTGGGTCCTCACACTCCTCATGGATCTCCAGGTCCTCCCTGGGCACTGTATCCCAGCGGCCTCTGTTAGCAGCAAGCTGATGCACCAGCTCATACTGGCCGGGCAGTGCTAAGCTGAGCCGCGTCTGCCTCCCATGAGTGAAGCACAGCTTCCTCCTCTTGCAGACAATGCCTTGGTCGCCCGCGCAGCCCTCTACGGCCTCTGTACCTTGAGGCAGCAGCCTTTCCCCAAGAAGGCAGTTGAGCAGCCGGTAGCGGGCGCCACAGTCCTGGCCTAAAACCAGGATGTACGGAGCGGCTCCCACGGTGCTGCGCAGGAACTCTTCCTCATGACTTGGGAAAGCGATGCAGCTCAGCTGGCCTGCAAATTTAAAAAAAAATTTCAATTAAAAAAACATGATGCTATGATGTGCTTATAATGTCGGGTTTAAAGTTGCAGTTGTCTGGATAAAAAAAAACAATCATAAATTGCTCTAAGCTGTTTATAATTAAAGGCGAGTCCTCCACAGATTGAGCTGCAGATTATCATTTACCACTAAAGGCCTCTGAATATTTACCAACTGATAATAATCCCCTGTCTAATAACTCCTGATACAACCCAAAGATGAGGAGCACATGCACAGTAGAACCAATAAAGCTTTCTTCCTGGACCCAAAGGGATAAAGGGTTCTGAGTCAATGTCTCCAACAGTTATATAACAAATAAAAGACAACAAAAACCTACATTATATGGTAACTGTTTTGAATTTACAACTTAAACTGAATTTGCTTTGAACTAAATTTAATACTTCTCTATTGAAAAAAGAAATTAGATAGAGCAACTAGGGGGAAAAAAACCTAAAAAACATGAAAACGCTTTCTGTACGGCAAACACATTTTCTCAAGATGGATGAAAACATTTCCTGACAGATCTGAACCAGAATATCCACCATCAACATGGTCAGAAAAGTAACTATTTCTGTGCTTTTGTTATAGCATCATGACCCTCTTCCAGATGATTACCCCAAACATTTACAGCTTTTTTCCATTATGTTCTGCTTGGACACGACCACAACCTGCTCAGTGTGGGAGGAAACTACAATAAATCTGTGCAGCTCAAGTAAATCTGCATTAAGAGTCAATCAACCTTCCTATGTGTCCATGCTGTTTAAGCTACAGTACATTGATTTTGCAGACACATTTAAATAAATCACAAGATAATATGGTTGTTGCCTTGTTAATTAACATTTATGTGAAGTTTTTCCCCTAAACTCATGAAAGTGACTAACTGCGTGCAGTTGGCTGATGCATTTTAAAAGCAGCTACTTGTTTACTATTCATTCAACACTGTTATGCATCATCAGTGGCACCACTTGTTTATATAAAAAAAGGCCACAATGGCCACATAAATAACTTGAATCTTTCAAAAGTGATAAATAAAAATTCTATTAAAATGAACATTAATTTTACAGAACCATTAACAGAAAGATTTTTAAAAGTAAGCTCATTAAACAGGCCTGGGCAACACATGATGGTACATTCAGTTTTTTTTTTTCTTCGCTCAACCATTTGAGTCAATCAGCACCTTTCAGCAGGTATTTTGGTGCAACCCTGTTAAGCAAACTGCTCCAGTGGTCTCAGGTTTGAAGGGGGGCTTTTCCATCAGCTTGTTGAGCTCCTTCCAAAGATACTCAATAAGATTTAGATCAGGGTTCATAGAAAATATTCCAATGTTTTCCTCTTATCCATTCCTGATTGTTTTTCTCTGTGTGTTTTGGATGATTATCCCATTGACCTGTGACTGATACCAAACATTCTGACACTGAGCAGCACATTTGTCTCTAGAATCCCTTAATCATCCTAAGATTACATTGAACCCTGCAGATATCCTAAACACCCTGTACCAGCTCAAGCAACGCAGCACCAGGACATAACAGAGCCTCCTCCGTGTTTCAGAGCAGGGACGATGTTCTTTTCTTTATATGCTACAATTTCCGTTCGTGAACATAGAGCTGATGTGCCTTGGAAAAAAGTTAAAATTTCCTCATCTCTCCATAGGACATTCTCCCAGAAGCTCTGTGGCTTATCAACATGTAGTTTGGTAGATTATAGCCTGGATTTTTTATGATTTGTTTTCAACAATAGTGTCCTCTTTAGTCATCTCTCATTAAGTCCACATTAGCTCAAACAATGATGGATGGTGCGATCTGACACTGATGCTCCTTGAGCTCAAAGTTCACCTTTAATCTCTTCAAAAGTTTTTTTTATAGGCTCTTTTGTTATCATTCATATCATCCATTTCTTTGATTTGTCATAAATTTACCTCCTGTAGCTACCTCTAGTGATGTTGGCTACAGTCTCATGGATCTTAAATTTCTAATTATTATTTGGAACTATAGTCACAGGAGCAACACGCTGCTCAGATGAGGGCTTATAGCCTTTATCATGCTGGTCTAGAATTTTCTTTCCAATCTCCTAAAACAACTCTTTACTTCTCTTCCTCTGCTCCATGTTGAGTGTGGTACACACCATGTCACCAAACAGCACAGTGACACGGGCCTATAAGGCCCACTGACTTATTCCAAGATTGTAGACACCTGTGATGCCAATTATTGGGAACACCTTGGATATCTGCATCTTTAAAAACATTAAAATAACTGCTACAGACACCCTACAGTTTATAAATATATCTTTTGCAACCAGTGGATTGGTACAGTTTAATTCATAGTACCACATTGACCCAGAATAAAACACTGATTCTGATCTAAAATACACTATATTGCCAAAAGTATTTGCTCACCCATCCAAATTATTGGAATCAGGTGTTCCAATCACTTCCATGGCCACAGGTGTATAAATTCAAGCACCTAGGCATGCAGACTGTTTTTACAAACATTTGTGAAAGAATGGGTCGCTCTCAGGAGCTCAGTGAATTCCAGCGTGGAACTGTGATAGGATGCCACCTGTGCAACAAATCCAGTCGTGAAATTTCCTCGCTCCTAAATATTCCACAGTCAACTGTCAGCTGTATTATAAGAAAATGGAAGTGTTTGGGAACGACAGCAACTCAGCCACGAAGTGGTAGGCCACGTAAACTGACGGAGCGGGGTCAGCGGATGCTGACGCGCATAGTGCGAAGAGGTCGCCAACTTTCTGCAGAGTCAATCACTACAGACCTCCAAACTTCATGTAGCTCAAGAACAGTGCGCAGAGAGCTTCATGGAATGGGTTTCCATGGGCGAGCAGCTGCATCCAAGCCATACATCACCAAGTGCAATGCAAAGCGTCGGATGCGGTGATGTAAAGCACGCCGCCACTGGACTCTAGAGCAGTGGAGACGCGTTCTCTGGAGTGACGAATCGCGCTTCTCCATCTGGCAATCTGATGGACGGGTCTGGGTTTGGCGGTTGCCAGGAGAACGGTACTTGTCTGACTGCATTGTGCCAAGTGTAAAGTTTGGTGGAGGGGGGATTATGGTGTGGGGTTGTTTTTCAGGAGCTGGGCTTGGCCCCTTAGTTCCAGTGAAAGGAACTCTGAATGCTTCAGCATACCAAGACATTTTGGACAATTCCATGCTCCCAACTTTGTGGGAACAGTTTGGAGCTGGCCCCTTCCTCTTCCAACATGACTGTGCACCAGTGCACAAAGCAAGGTCCATAAAGACATGGATGACAGAGTCTGGTGTGGATGAACTTGACTGGCCTGCACAGAGTCCTGACCTCAACCCGATAGAACACCTTTGGGATGAATTAGAGCGGAGACTGAGAGCCAGGCCTTCTCGTCCAACATCAGTGTGCGACCTCACAAATGCGCTTCTGGAAGAATGGTCAAAAATTCCCATAAACACACTCCTAAACCTTGTGGACAGCCTTCCCAGAAGAGTTGAAGCTGTTCTAGCTGCAAAGGGTGGACCGACGTCATATTGAACCCTATGGATTAGGAACGGGATGTCACTTAAGCTCATATGTGAGTCAAGGCAGGTGAGCAAATACTTTTGGCAATATAGTGTATATACTTTCAGTTTGTACTGTTACATTAGACCAAGAATTAGGATAGTGATGCGTTAAAAAGACGGCTTGCAAACTCAGTTCAATAAAAGCTTATTAAAACACAGTTTCTTATCTGTGCAAATGTTTCATTTTATTCTGAAGAAGTTCACTTTTGCCATGTTACATTAAAAGTGCTACACAAGGCGGAACCTCATCAGACAGAAGAAAAAGTCTTGGCACTCCCACCTGTTAGGTGGGGCCGACAGGCTTCAGGAGATACTGACGCTTGGAGAGCTCAGTCGTGGAAAGTTTTGTTGATCACAGGAATATTTACAAAAATTTAGTGAAGGCAGACAGAAGGGTTTCAGCAGCTTTCCTTTCTGAAATCTAAAAACAACTTTAAATACTTTAAAACTTCCGGTTCCTTATAATCCAGCTCTTGTAGAGCAGAGAGTAATTCTGTTTTGCCCTCCCACATCTGTTGCTGCACGTTGCTGGTCAGCTGGCTTAAGAAACTGCCTACAGTTAGGAAGATCAATGTGATAAAATACAACTAAAATTAACTCTGTTAAACTGTCATATGTGCAGAGACCATGCTTGTTTAAAGTCTAAGAGCAAATTTAGCAGCTGTTTTTATTATTTGTTGTTACCATTTTAAATTTAAAAGATTTAATCATATCATGCATGATCTAATACCAGCATAATATTAGGAAATACATAGAGATGGAAAGAGTAGCAACAATCTGAACTGTACCAAAAAGGTCGTCAGTACCTCCAAGATGACCTTCTGGTTAGAACAGTGCTTTCTAGATGGGATGTCTCTCCGTTGTCTTGACCTTATCTCAGCTACATAAATCCAAATTGAAGCTGGAAGATTTCCCTTCATATAATTCAACATATCAAAAGACCAAAACTTAATTTCAGTGTTTAATCTAATCAGTAGATAAAAAGATGAATTAAGCTCCTTTCACGGAGGGCAGCCTTGTGGTCTTATTTTGATCAAGGCAACTGCTCAGTTTAACATTTGTTAATTTAATCCTGGTGAAAGGGTTGAACCAACCCCAAACAACTCTTACATGTGTACTAACTAGTTAAAGGCAAGCTTGAGCTTTGGTGGTTCCAAACTTGGATCCATGTGAGCGTTCAGACAGGAAAGTGAGCCCAACAACAGATTTGAGCTGATTTGGGAATGGATAAAGTAAACCAACGTTGTTGTTTTTTTTGATGAACACAAGCAGGAACAAAAAAAAAAAGAAAACTATAGATAAATTAAGAAGAATATAAAAGTATAGCTGCTGCGATGGACTTGCAAAAAATATTTCACCAGGATATGGCTTCAGGCTTATGTGGATTTTTTGATTCCTCTGAATTAGATTCCTCTTTTACTACTAGCATTAAAACTACAGCCTAGATAAAAGAAGAAATCATGTCAAATTTAAAACAATCACTAAAATTGGTAACAGCCCTCCAGCTTCCAGCTATTCATCTCTACAGGCTAGGGTTGTCAAAAGTATCGATACTCAAAAAAGTATCGATACTGAAATGTTGTATCCGGATACAATACTCATTTTCAAAAGTATCGAGTACCAGTCGCACCTAAACAGTCATTCATCTAAAGTGCAGAATAGAGGAAAATGCACTTTCTGAACACTGTGATTGAATAATTCTGTGCACTTTTCAGTTTCAGACTTTTTTTGTAACAGTTGCAGCTGCTGAGAATTATTTGTTTCTTAACCGGTTTGGCTAGTGTCATTGTTATGTGTGCCAAGCATAGCCAAGTAAGGGAAACTTAATTTTAATTTTGTAAGTTTTTTATCAAGCTTGCTAAATACTGTGCACAGCAAACAACCTCAAAATGTTGTTCTTATTGTTTATTGTATTTATTTATTTATTGTATTTTAATTATTAATCAAAATATTTCTGTTGAAATTTTATCCTTGTGGTATCGAAAATGGTATCGAGTATCGAATATTTTCCTTAGTATCGGTATCGAGTTGAAAAGTTTAGTATCGTGACAACCCTACTACAGGCAAAACCTTTTTAATTCTTAACTGGGATTTTTCAGCATCATCAAAACAATCAATGTTTGTATTTGTTTGTTATCAAAAAGCAGATCTGAGTAGTCATTCTGTACCAATAAGCGGTTCTGGTTTCAATAATATGCTTTCCAGCTGTGGTTTCACTAGTGATCGTATTGAGTGTTGATGTATGTGTTCAAGCTTACCTGCCTCCAGAGAAGCTGAATCTGAGCTTATAGTTGCTGCACACGCATTACTGTAGTTTTGCCTTATTTCTCTGAAGAATGCATTGGTCTCCTTCAAGTTTTTCCTCAGCTGTATGGAGTGCTTGTTGTAGCTGCTAAATATTTTCTGCAGTTCCCGGACCAAAGGAGCTATTTTCTGTTGCTGTACATTTCCCTCCATGGCCAAAAGATGTTGTTGTCCTCTTGGCGTGATTTAATCGTTTAAGCAAGGGCCAAATACCAACTGTTTTTATTTACAATCAGCACCAATAAGTAAAATAAAATGTCCTTTTTTTTGTCACCAACTAGTTAGCTGACAGGTTTATCCTCTCATTTGCCCAAGATGTGTTGATTCATTTGACAAAAGACGCAGTTAATGAATGGTAGTCGGTCTAAAATATCTTAAAGAGGAGTGTATCGATAGTAAACAGAACCTTTAGCCTCTCATTTTAGAGTGTAAGTGAGCATTTAGCGTTTAAATTGCGAAAGATGCTAGCTAGCTTGACGCCGAGTGCAAAATAGATTGAGGAAAAAAAAAATATCCGCCGAGACAGCTTCTGTTTCATTAGTTTAAAATGTATATCGGTAAAAACAGTGTTTTTGGTATTTATATATAGCTTCGCCTACTTATATGCTAAGTTATCTGTTTGCAACCTAGCTGCGCTCGAGATAAGTTACTGCTGCTAGCCAGAGGGCATCTCCTGCCCGTTAACACCTTGGCCTGGCACGAAAAACATGCTCCTAAACTCCATAGACACGCTCCAATTCGCTGCAGTGTTTAAAGGCCAAACTCCGGGAAGCATGAAGAGCCAAAGAGAGGGACCACAGCGCTGAGCTTCTTCCCGAGGAGGCTCCGCGTCCGTGGGGTGTGTGTGGGGGATTCCTTCCTAATGTGGCTGTAGAGAGCAGAAGCCAGCAGACATCTTCCAGCCTGGAGTGCAGCGACAGTGAGAATGGCAGCTTCAGTTTGTAAGAAAGAGAAGCGGGAAAAGCTGTAATGTAGCAGGGCGAGGCGAGTCCGCACCAAACCGCATAGCCCTGCGGGCAATCAAATCACAGCTAAACTGAACTGAAAGCAGAGCGAAGTTAGGGATAACAAGGGGCGGGGCCAAATATGACAGGACGCGGTGCTACATGGGAAATGTAGGCAGTCTGTCAAAAACTGCTGAGCTGTAGTGTGCGTTCAAGTTTTATTCGGGTCGGAATTTCGAGTTTCAAGATAGTTGGAAGACTCAATTTTCAAGTTGAAATAGATTTTTCCATTTGCCTGAAATAAAACACACTTTGAACATCAGGTCACGTGAAACAGGTGCTTCATTATACTTCGAATAGGCCTACAGAATGCAGCTTCAGAAAAAGTCAGATAAAGGAAAGATCAGCCAATAACTATGAATTCAACAACGGCTCAAATCAATCTATAAATTCTGCTGGATAGAATTTACTTGTATTTTTGTTGAATTTTAGAATTGTTATGACAGAAGTTGTCTATTATCGTTTATTCGAAGGCAGAAAACACACCACTCCTTTTCAACCGGCCTATAACAAAGACAATGACAAGTACTTTTAAAAGTATTGCACTTAGTGTTTCTCCATACTGGGACAGCATGATGTAGGGAAATACTATTTCAGAAGAAATCTGAAAGAAAAACAAATAATCTGGCTATATTTAAGAAATCTGAATTTCATTGCAAGTGAGATGGTGCATAGTTCTCTGAGATGGTGGCAGTATTATACTGAAGCAAGAAAGGGAGAAACATCAACAGAAATATATTATTCAAATATATAATCACATAACCAAAAATATGTAAGCAAGAAAATGAAATGAGTAAATAAAAGACAGATTATTATAAGAGCCCATTCACATCTACTGACTTATCTGCCTAAGATCTGAAAATGTACAAATTGATTCATTAATAAGCAGTTGTATGTCTTCCATCAACACAATAAAATAATTAATAAAAAATTTTAATGGTGTGTTGAATTTGTCTCTGAAGAAAGATTACATCACAAGTTTTATTACTCTAAACACACTGTCAAATCAGGGAAATGTGGTGGCAGTTTGAAAATGTTGGTGGGATTTTCATAAAAAAAAACTCAATAAATGCATTTATCAGCATCAAGTACAAGAAAATTTTCTAATTTCAGCCATTATAAACCCATGTTTTCGCTGACTAAAAAACATTTCTATATCTGGCCACAACCATACAAGCAGCTGCAAATTTCTGTACAAATCTCAGTTTTGGTCAAGACCTAGTTATGATAACAACTTGTAGTTCAAGGTACAGTTGAGCCTCGGTGGTTACTAATTGTCTATGCAATCCTAACCACTTTTTTATCATCATCTTAGAGGAACGGTTTTGGTTTGGTGGTTGAAACTAGGGCTGGGTAATTAATTGCAGTTGTGATATAATCCCAATTTAACAAAACGCAATTTTCAAATTGCAAATTGCAATTTTGGTAACATTACTTTTAGCAAGAGTAAGACAAAAACTTTCTCACTACAGTTCTTTAATACATTTAAAGTGGATTTGTCGTACACAGAATGAAGGAGAAAGCTAGTAGGCCATGAATGACAGAACTATATCACACAAAGGTTACAGTAAAGTCCTGCAACAATGGACTCTGGACAAACAAGCTTTCAATGCAAATGACAAATCTAAAACCCCAAAATGAAACATCAATGAGCTCAGGGTTCGTACACTGCAAAATCGAGCTAGAAATAAAAAAAAAACTTCTTTAATTAAGTGTATTTACCCGTAATTTGAGTAGGTAAATAGGATTTTTTGCCAATCGAATTTTTTGAACACTTAAAATAAGATAATTAGATCAAATGCGCATGAAATAAGTCAATACAATTGTCTTTTTTTCTTATTTTAAGTGTAAATGTTCTTGTTCCATTTGCAAAGTGTCTCACTTACCTCCTCAATTAAGATTTCTATTTTTTGCAGTGTACCAACGAAAATTTAAATATAATTGCCACCCCAATATTCACTGAAAAAATAATCGCAATTTTCATTTTTGGCTAAATCGTTTTTTCTGTAGTTAAAACTTGGAATAGGTCACAACATGAAAATTATCTCCAATAGACCCCTGCTAAATGCTGAGGTCTTAAAAAAAAACAACCAATTTATACAAACGGAGCGGAGCACCTTTTCTCACAGGCTGCTCCAGCTCCGCTGTCGAAGGGACAGATACAGGAAATCTTTCCTGCCATATGCCATCACATTGTACAATAAAAAAATAAACTCTTGTTTCAGCATATAGTAACCAGCACTGTACTGTACTGCACTTCATGTTTTTAATACATTATTTATAATCTGTTCACTGCACCTTAGGACTGTTCACTGTACTTTTATAATGTAAATACGTGTGGATGTTATGTGATTTGTTACTTTTTCTTTATCTTATTGTGTTGTGACTGTCAGTATGTGTAAAGCTGCTGCTACACTACAATTTCCCAGCTTGGGATAAATAAAGTAAATCTATCTATCTATCTATCAAACTTTCCCAATTTTCCTGAAATTATTGGTCACATATGTAGCTAGGATTGTGAATCGTGACTATGACACCTCATTTTATACTGATTCAGACCTTTAATTCCCAAATCAAATTGCAATAAAAAAATAAAACCAAACAATAAGTAATAAATCATAACTCTTAATACATTATTCATATAAAAATGGTCACATTTATAGTCACAACATTTAATTAAAATTTTTATACTTTTTGTCCTTTTCTTTCTTTTTTTTTTTAAGTGCTGATGATCTGGTATTTTTTTCTAGGTCATGTGTTTTATATTGCTCTGGATTTTAGTCACAACTGTGAGACTGAGGAGAGGATTCCCTTTATTTTCATTGTTCATCTTGTGCACAGTGTTCTTTTACATGCACGAGTGAATAAACGTCTGGCACATCTCTCTGCCAAAAAAAAGCAAAAACAAACAGTCTGCCTGCGGGTGGTTAATCCTCATACAATGTGAGGATGAGCAGCTACTTTTTGAGAATTAAATCTGATGAAGCTGATCACAACATCCGCAAACATCCATCACCTGTAGCAACATGTTACATATATATAATATATGTATATGTGTTCACCAAACATCTAATGTAAGCAGACAGTATTGAAAATAAAGAACAATACATTTTGACTGTACATGTTAAAATCAGTTTGATTTCAATGGAGTGATCCAAAACACTTAACCTACTTTCTGAAAGAGAGGGCACAATGCTGACCTCTCGTGGCCCACAGCTGCAGGAGCAGTTTCAAAAATCTCCTAGATCAGTTTCTCCAAACCTTTTTTGACTTATATTCTCATTTGGGCCTTTTTTCTTACCACGAGTACCCCTCTAAGTCAAAAGTATAGATGATTGTCCAAATGGGGAATGTAAAACAACTGAAATAAAGACTATTTTACTTAATCTTTTAATTTGAGCATTTGATTTTTCCAATTTTATTCTTTACATCTAAAAAACAACATAATTAAGTTACCTGGAAGTTAGTAAGGAATCGAAATAAAATTATACTATAAACCTGTATTTACAAAAATGGAGCTCCCCTGAGAACTCCCTTATAATCACATTTAAACTTGATGAATTTTGAACATATACAGAACAAAAATCATACTCAGACTGACTTAATTAGTTTTTCATCAAGACAACTGAGCTGCTTTGATGAGCTTCGATAGCTCAGGTGTAGAAAAACATCTGATCCCAGGCTGTTCTCTACATCCAGTCTGTTCCTCTGCTTGGTTTTGATGTGTGTCAAAGCTGAATGTGACCTAAAAAAAAACGTACTTTTAGGTTGAAAAGAAGTTTTTTTATTTTTTTGTTGGATCCTCGCAAAGCAAAACAGATCACAGCCCTATTTTATTTCACTACCTAAGAAATCAAATATTGTCATGTACCCCTTGCAATGCACATGGTATGGAATCTCCAGCAGGGGCAAGCACAAGTTGTGGCAGCGGCACCTATCTACTGCATCTGGGGGGGTGCCGCTATCCAGTGGCAGATACAACTACTTTGGAGGGATGCCAGACAACATGCTGCTGTTTGAGGGAGATGCCACTGGGTTAGTGTAGGCCTACCATAACCTCATACCTGCAGGGACAAAGAAAAAATACATTAGCCCTATGTGTAGCCTATTCCAGAGGGCATTGTCAAGCTTTGTCCACAAAAACACTCCACTAATACTGAAACCATATGCTGTATGGCAGGGGTCATCGACTTTTCTCAGGCTAAAGACCCCCAAACTGATGGTGAGATGGAGCGGGGACCCCCTAATTATATATATTGTATGAAATTGTGTTTTATCAAACTGGTTCTAGTCACTCTGTTACAGATGGAGTAATGTAATGAAAGTAATTTCTCCCTGGGATTATTAAAGTATTTCTGATTCCTCATTGATGGGACAGGTGTTGTGAATGAAATGGTGCCCAGCTTCAAAGAGCTCCTGTGTGTCGCCGAATGTGTGCAATGATGACTGAAAGACATCTTCTGCCTCCATTTATCTGTTTCCTACAGTGTGTTGAATTTATGTTAATGTGTATTTAAAGGCATTTCAATTAGTGGAAAAAATTGTAGGGGGGGGTATTACAAAAAAGGTCTAATCACTCAAAACCTTTGCCCGTGGACCCCTTAGGAGTTGCAGACCCCCTGTTGAAGACCTCCGCTGTATGGTATACCAGGGACAGTTATAGACTACTATGCCGAAGAAGGTGTTTAATTGAATAAATAATGTTTTCCTTTATTTAATGAAACAAAAACAGAAAGGAAAAAAAAGAGGACTCCACGTTATATAGGCATACCGGTTTAATTCAAGAGTATAAAAAGTGTTAAAACACTTATAGAGATAGATAGATAGATAGATAGATAGATAGATAGATAGATAGATAGATAGATAGATAGATAGATAGATAGATAGATAGATAGATAGATAGATAGATTAGATGAGCTTTATTGATCTCACAGCGGAGAAATTCACTGGTCACATATTGGCATAGTACTTAAATAAGGTGCAAACAAGGAGGAAGAGGTGCATTAGGAATAAAAATAAATAAAAATAAAATAGATAGATAGATAGATAGATAGATAGATAGATAGATAGATAGATAGATAGATAGATATGCATTTTCCTATATTGATGTATTTTTAAAAAGCATATAAAGATATGTTAACCTATAAGGATTATTTGCAGATTTTACAATATTACAGTAAGATACAATCTGTAGAGTTTCACGTGATAAAAAATAAAGAACTTTGTAAACATCATACATTAGAAAATATTAAAAACAAATTCCTTTCCCTAATTATCTCCCCGTGGTTATTGGTTGATGCAGTGCTTTGTCATAATGTTGGTGCCGCTTGTTTTAACTACCTGTATACCGCGACTGTGAGCAACAACAAAAAGAAAGTCATGACAGAAATCGGACAATATATAAACAAACACGCAATGATTAAATCCAAAGGAAACAAATAAATATAGATGAGAAAAACAAATATCTAGGTCGCTTTGTTTTAATAAAAGATAAAGAAACCCAACACTCCGCGGCGCTTCCTCTAACACCACCTCCCCGGCTGACGTGTGTGTGTGTGTGCGGGCGGTGCTTCTCTCTCCGGAGATATACCTGCTCAGAGAGCACCGAAAAGCCGTCCTCCCCACACCCCCTGCTCCATGGTTTCTATCTGCTTTCCTTCACTCGATCAGAGCAACCAGCTTCTCGAAGGGGACGGTAGAGAATCCCAGAGTGTGTGGCATGGTTCAGAGGAACACCTGCGTGTGAGAGAAGGTAACACAGACCCTCAGCATGGATGCCCCTCACGCTGTCTGCCCTCCACCTGCGGGGGGAAACGCTCCTTTTGGGAGAACGAAGAGGCAGGCCGTGAAAAGACACCACCACAAACACAACCTGAAGCACAGGTACGAGTTCCTGGAGACGCTGGGCAAAGGGACCTACGGAAAGGTGAAGAAAGCCAAGGAAAGGTCTGGGAGACTGGTGAGAGGACATTCTTATTTACAGTCAATATTTAATGGTTTGCAGCCTGCTGCTGGGTGGTCACCTGTTTACAGCCTGGTATCAGGTAGCTCTGGTTTCACTTTCTGGAAAACTGACCTTGTACTACAGCCTTTGCTAACAAATAGACGCATATATTTAAACATCCATCTAGATAAAAGGAATAGTAAATAAAATACTTTCAGATTTAAGTTCTGGGGCAAACATCTTTTCCATTGTCATTACTTACCTACTTTTATCGATAATCATTCTGCATAAAACTGATATTTATAAGTAATAATATCTACATTGATTATTTAATACGTTTTTATTGAAATTGTTATTTATCTATGATTTCACTGAGGACTCCTAGATGACTTGCAGAGTCATAATTTTCATAATTTTCTCTTTACCCCATATAACACAAAATCTAGTTCTGAAGAGAGCATGAATTTTGTACTTATCATCTTTGATGTTAGTATATTCATGTGTATAATTAACCAGTGTTTTTGTTGTCAAGAAATTATGAATATATAAAAAATAGCAAGTAATATATAAAAAATTAAATTAATATTAGACTTGAGAGTATTACTGCTGCCACCCCACATGGTCGGGTTGGCTAATGATTGGCTAAGAGTGGCCATGGCCACCCCTGGCCCCCCATCTAGCTCCGCCCCTGAGCAATTCAAGCACTGAATCGCCCAGTTTGTTTGTTTTTTCAGTCGACCAATCAGTGACCGCATTTGGCAGCTGTGCAAATGTATTGTTTTCTCAGTGCTTTCAAATAACTAACAGCCGGTTTAACATAATCACTTTGATTTGACGCGCACACATGAGTCATACCTAAAAGGCATTGTGTTGGGCCGAAAGAGGTGGCTCTTCCCCCTCAGGAATCTGTGACAGGAAAGTTTAGAAAAGTTCCTGATGCAGGAAGGTGGGGGGGAATTTCAACACTCCCTTATCAGATGAACTTTGATTGCCTATGACCAGAAGAAAGAAAGCATTGAACAGGAAATGGAAAGTGAACCAAAGTTGATGTCTGATTTCAAACGGCGTATTTAAAACTGATTTATGCTCATATTAATGGAATAAAGGAATACAAAAACATATAAAATGTAATTTTTTTGCAAATCTGACTGACTACAAAAGAGTATATCTATTTACATTTTTTAAGTAATCGCAAACATCAGCTTTCTGGTTTCCAATAACGTTGATATGCATTAAGAGATGTATAACTAACCTTTTAACAAAGCTGTATGAAGCATGTATAAAAACTGTACTGCTCCTCTCCCAGCATGCTTTGCTTCGTTTATGAAAGAAGGCAGCTAAACTTTTCCTTCAGCAAAGACAAATGTGAATAAACCAGATTGAAGCCCCCCTATAGAAATATACTTTTCAAAATAATTATTATGCTATAAAACCATGTTTATCTGATGTTTATATTTTGTATTTATTGTAGTACTATTGACATTTTTACAGAAGTTGGAATATTATCTTCTGTGTGGGTGACTAATAACAAATTAAGATCATGTTATAGGTTTTTATTTTTCTGTTCATCCTGTAGGTATTTTAACTTGAGCTTATCAAACCACTAAAATCTCATACCTACCAATGTCTGTTCAAAGCTTTTTAACAAATGTTTTGTGTTCAATTTTAAATTAACCAACCATATTGCCATGACTACAAATGTGTTATTCATCCTCATATATTTTTTTCATGAAATGTCAACCAGTAAAATGATTCAGAGCCCAAATGACTGCATTAGTGAAAGCTTTAACATTCTAAAGACAAAGATTCGATATTTATCTTCAGTGAAGTATGTCCTAAAAATAACTGTCTATTTTCAGCATTTGTAGTGCATCAGTTTATCTGATTGTTTTCTTTTTAAGTGTCTGGGAAGAGGCAGAACTGTTTGTTTCATACTACGGAAGCAAAGATCAGGAATTTCCCGTGAGCTCTTGAAGCAAACATTAAGTGATTCAAGTTCAGTCTTGTCGCTTCATCTTTTCCCCTGTTTCCGTCTGAGCAAAACAATTCTCCTAAGAAATGAGTAGTTGTCTCAGATTCATCCCTGCAGTCAGCCTCCTGACTTAATCTCCCTCAGGCCATTTCTTGAATAAACAAGAGTCTGAGATAATACCAGCCAAAAGATAAATAAAAAAATTAAAAAGACAATTATTTACCTGTTTTATGTTAACCTGCATTTTCACTATGACTTGTGTCTAATAACGATGGTTTGACTCTGGAAGTGGCAACACAATGGATGTCCTCATCACTCTTATTTTATCAGTGCTGCTCCTGTTGTCTGAGCGAATACATTTGATTACATAATCTAGTTTAGATTGGGGGTCAGCATATGTGAAGTGCCTTGCATTACATACCAGCAAGTCTGTCCTAGAATGGATTATAACAAGCATGCTAAACTTTATGAGTTCTGGAAGAATTGGTTTCATTTATTGATTTAAAAAAAAAAAAGTAACAGATTTGTTAAGCTGAGTGGAATTGCTTGAAACTACTTGCCGTAATCTCAATTGTATACAAAGCTTTTGACCCATGTTGACAATCTGTGAAAAGAAAACAGGTGAAAGGATATCATCCCAACTAGATTTCAGGTCAGAAATGATAAAAGACTGAAAGGAATTTTTATTACATCCATGGGAATTGTCCACAGAGAAGTTAAGATTATTGAAGGTTTGGTTTGCTGTGGGGCATGTGGATGTTATTTAAAGTAAAGTAAGAAGCTTCAATGTGATTCTTGGCATAAAAATCCCAGAATATGTAGTTTAAGGAAATTAATAAATGGTTTGTCATGTATGTTGTGTTCATATTCAAGATTATCATCTCCAGAAATCCATTGCAAGTTTTCATTGAATAGAAAATAAATTTACCTCCTAATATTTAAGATACTGTTTTTATGTGAGCAGACAAGTTTACAATCAATGACTTGACTTTTGATATTTAGCAGCTTAAAATGAGCATAATTAGAGTTTTTCTGGCAATGCTAAAACTATATTTTGTGAACTAAACTACAGTGTAAATTTTTTGATTAATGTCAGCCTAGATGTGTGACTGAACATTGCCTTTTTTCTTCTACATTAGCTGCATGTTAGTGTGCTACCATTAATTTATAAGGATGGTTTAAAACAGTATTTAAACCCATAAAACTGATAATGTAAAGACTTTTGCTTCCTTTTAATATGATTCATCAAACCCATTCAATTTTGTTAATTAATGATGATTTAAACTTCTTTTTTGTTTTTCATCAGTTGGTAGAGCTTCCTTGTAGCTATGAGTTGTTGGCTGTCAGTGTTGTTTTGGTATTAAGAGTTTTATTTTTGTGTATTTTTGTAGGTAATATAAAAATAAAGCAATCGACATTCAGTTTATTTTAAATAGATTTTGGCTGCTTATTAATTGGAGCCTAAACCCTAAAATTTGTGGCATCAAAAACAAAAGATGGCTACTTCTCAGAACATTACTCTTATTTAAAATTGTTTTTTAAAGGAAAAACCTTTCTTCTCTTCATTTTTTTTTTATTGATCAGATTTAATAGATTTCAGTTTATCATTTTGTGAGCTTGTCGTTTTTAAACACCATAAGAAATGGTATTTTCTTTAAATTCTGATGTTATAGCGATACGATTTGCAAAAAAGAAGTTTTTGATTTTAGTTTATCAAATGTGTCCAAGTACTTTTTAGATGTAAAATGTTTCAGTATAATTCCTTTTTAAAAGATTTAAAAAAAAAATTTTACGTTATATTTTAATTCTTTATATGCATTTTACCGCTAAACAAAGCTTTATTTTTTTCCTCTGGATCACAGCTAGCTGCTTGATGCTGAGTGAGGTGAAGTTTATGACTTGGTGTGTATTTGTAGAGAAAGATGGTGTGAAATGTGATCAATTCACCCAGTGGTTGTGTATTGTGTGAAGCAGGTTTGCGTCTAACAAAGGCGGCTCACAGTCTGAAAACCTCCACAGGGGTGTGAGGTTGTCATGGGTTGGATTTTACACCCTCCTAAAGCTATGCTAACAAACGCAGGAAACGGTCAGTTCCCGGAATCAGGAGTTTGGTGTGAATGTGGTGCTGACCCCGGAGAAAACGCCAGACAGTGTGACTCATGGAAAGAGACTGCCGTTTGTCGAAAGTGATTTATCAAGTTGCTGCTTTACTCATTCTCCTGAGTCTGCAGCCTTGAGGGTTTAGAGATAAGCAGAGAAAAAAAAAAGAGGACACCCCCCGGCTGGGCCATCTGCCGCCTCATGAAACCCTTAAAGGTTTGGTTGGACTGATGACGCACATAGAGGAATCCCAGGCATTTGAGCTGCAAATACACAACCTTGACACACAAAAAGTAAAACTGACTCTCTAAAAAAAGAAAAACAGACCCAATGGTACCCATAATATGGGCCACATAGAAAATTATAGTCGACAGTTTTGTTTTTTTCTTAAATATCTGACCTTTTGTTCTCTCTGCCCCTTTAGAAATGGCGCTACAGTTTTTGGTCCACTGCGCTCTGCTGCTGTTCAAGAATTTCATTGTTATTAAATGATGGCCTGTTTGTAGATCTTCTATTGAAGTGTGGCTATCGTGGCTCCAGGTCAATTTATTCTCCCACTAATTTATACCCTATTTCACATAACTTGAAATTCTGTACTTTTTATTTCTAACAAAAGAAAAAAAAATTTCATACCAATTTTCCTAAAGCATGACATATAAATATCTTTTTCAAATCAAATATTTTCATAACCTTTGCAGATAGATCTAATCTAAAGTGCTCAAATCTCAATTTGAATGCATTTTAAGTCTAAAAATAAGATCTAAAAACATTGTTTTAAACCTATTTCCTATTTATTATGCTTCAACACCTTGTTGAGGCAAGTGTACTATAATATATGTCAGATTATGATTCTTGATTCAACCAAACTAACTCATAAACATTTTCTTACAGCAGAAATAGGTTATGAAACATCTTCCTGCTGGGTAAGAATTGACACAGGATTGGTCTTAAAAAAAAAATCTTATTGTAGCAGAGATTTGATGATGGCTTCTAGCTAATTAGTCTGATTGTTATAAGCTACAAACTGGTATTCATAAGAAAATACTAAATTTTCTCCATATCTTGGAAATTACTCAAAGAAGGAAAACATAAATGCATAACAAGATCTAATAGAGCAACCAAAACACGTACTATAGTGTTTACCACAGCTGGACCTATTTTCAATTGGATAAATTGGTATTTTTCTCCAAATACAAGAACAGCGCTGTAGCTTGACTAGTGATGTATAGCAATGGGTTGGGGAGGGGCAACTCTGTACCATGCTTTGCAATCACTCTGATAAATTCTCTGGCCTCTCATTAAAAGGAAACCATAGTACAAATGTGACAGCAAACTTTTTGCCATTTTATATTTGTGACTTTTTATAGCCTCGTTTTCTGTGTAGTTAAAAAAAATAATAATAATAACCTAATCCAAGTATTTAACTTCTCTTTTTTTTTTTTTTTAGGTGGCCGTGAAATCAATCAGAAAGGAAAAGATCAAGGATGAGCAAGACCTGGTTCATATTCGCCGAGAAATTGAGATCATGTCCTCACTGTGTCATCCCCACATCATAACTATTTATGAAGGTACAGATTTAATTCCACTTTTTAGGAGGCTTTACGGTAACTATGTGCTATCAAAAATAAAACCTATCTGGGGAAAGAAGATTAAAAGTGGATTCAGAGTTTAGTCATCAAGGTCTCTGTGCTAAGGACTCAATGCAGAATTACCCCAGCAGCTCTGAGACCATGTGTTGACTCTTGTCCTCTGTCTTAGTCACCTCTGATGAGTTGTCGCCATCAGCGTTTCTTTGTCCTCCGTTTAAAACTCTGTACCTCAGTATCTTACAGTTTTGGTTAAGCAAAGGTTTTCTTTTGTTTTTTTCCTTTTAGTTTTTGAGAACAAGGACAAAATTGTGATAGTGATGGAGTATGCTAGCCAGGGGGATCTGTACGACTACATCTGCGACAAGAAGAACCTCTCCGAGCCTGAAGCCAGGCACTTCTTCAGGCAAATAGTGTCTGCTGTGCACTACTGCCATCAGGTAGGACTGATTTCCTGCATTAAAACATGATTTCACAAGTTTTTTTTTTTTTTTTTTACTTTTACAGAATGACTATGACCTGGATGACTGAGAATCTTCAACAGCATGATTTCAATAGGTGTATCAAGGATGAAATTAGATTTTTAGTGTTATAGGCCTTCCAGGCCAGTACCACCTCTAAGATTACATAATGGGCATTATTCACTATCATGGTGCAGCTCGGAACAGGGAGACTGTGAGAACAATGTCAGGGAAATGAGCAGAGCCAGCATTGGGGCTAAAGGCCAACTCTCCTGACACAAACGCACACACATGGTTTAACGGTTTAATGAGGGCGTAAATGAACAGAAACAGAAACTTTAGGGCTTTCTATTTTTTATAGCAGTCTGTACTTCAAACTGCATCATGAATATGTGCCAGGAGGAATTTACTGTGTCACTTTCTCCGCTGCAGACTCTGTTAGCCATATGCTTCATTTTACTTTTATGGGCTTCTCGTCTCTTGTTAAATATTTAATCTTTTATGCTTACATAAAGTGAAAGATCATCTACACCTATGTTTTATTACTTAAAATGTTAGCATTGAAGATTATTTTTTTCTTTTGTTCCTTTTTAGAAGTAAACTCAAGGGCATAATCTGGTAGTTTGTTAAAAAAAAACATAACAAAGCAAAGTATTTTTTTTCCTCCAAAGGTAATTTAATTTGAATTGAAAGGTATTCCCCCCTGCTGAGTTGAAGACAAAAAAACATGGCTGACATCCTTGACAATTCAATTCAATTCAGTTTATTTATATAGCGCCAAATTCACAACACATGTCATCTCAAGGCACTTTACAGTTCAACCAGATCATACAGTCAAATTGATACAAAGTTTTCTATCTAAGGAAAACCAGTTGATTGCATTGACTCATTGACTCAAATACAATCCCCCACACTAAGCATGCTTGTAGCGACAGTGGAGAGGAAAAACTCCCTTTTAACATGAAGAAACCTCCAGCAGAACCAGGCTCAGTGTGAGCGGCCATCTGCTGAGGCCGACTGGGGTTCAAGGAGACAGAAGCAGAGATACAAAAAGCAGCTGTAAAAGGCGGCCCCGTCCAGGAAACACACAGCCAGGCAGACGAGCTCCAAGGCAGCTCCCATGCCAGAGGACGAAGAGAGCACATCCACTCAGTCACGGTCAGAGAAACAGGACCACACTGGAAAACAGGCCGATCTCCAACATCTATTAACAAGGGTGTTGATAGAAGCAGCACAGCTGATGTTTTTTTTTCCAGGATGACGTCACAACCAAACAGGAACAGACGAGGCAAAGCTACTCTGAGGAAAAGCAGAGAGAGCAGAAGGTTAGAGATTGAACTAACAGATTCTGCAGAATAGGAGAACAGAGAGAGAATGAAGCAGAATGATGAAATGGGGGTCCCTATGTCCTCCAAAAGTCTAAGCCTATAGCAGCATAACTATAGAGATAGCTCAGGATAACCTGAGCCACCCTAACTATAAGCTTTATCAAAAATGAAAGTTTTAAGCCTAGCCTTAAAAGTAGACAGGGTGTCTGCCTCACGGACTAAAACTGGTAGTTGGTTCCACAGGAGAGGAGCCTGATAACTAAAAGATCTGCCTCCCATTCTACTTTTAGAAATTCTAGGAACCACTAGTAAACCTGCAGATTGAGAGCGAAGTGCTCTGTTAGGAACATAAGGAACAATCAGATCTCTGATATAAGATGGAGCTTGGCCATTTAAGGCTTTATATGTGAGAAGAAGGATTTTAAATTCTATTCTTGATTTAACAGGAAGCCAATGAAGAGAAGCCAGGATAGGAGAGATATGATCTCTCTTTTTTATTTTCATTAGAACTCTGGCTGCAGCATTTTGGATCAGCTGAAGGCTTTTAACTACAGTTTGTGGACTTCCTGATAGTAAAGAATTACAATAGTCCAGCCTTGAAGTAACAAATGCATGGACTAGTTTCTCAGCATCACCCCTGGACAGGATATTTCTAATTTTTGCAATGTTCCTCAGATGAAAGAAGGAAATTCTAGAAACCTCTTTGATATGGGATTTAAATGACAGGTCCTGATCAAAAATAACACCAAGATTTTTTACTTTATTATCTGAAATCAGTTTAATCCCATCCAAATGAAGTGACTGGCTAATCAGTTTCTTTTTCAGAGACTCTGGTCCAAAGACTATAACTTCTGTTTTGTCTGCATTCAGAAGCAGAAAGTTAAGAGTCATCCAGGTTTTTATGTCTTCAAGACATGCCTGTAATCTATGTAATGGGTTAGCTTCATCTGGATTTATAGACAGATATAGCTGGGTATCATCAGCATAACAGTGGAAATTAATCCCATGCTGTCTAATAATTCTACCAATTGGGAGCATGTATAAAGTAAAGAGAATTGGTCCTAGCACTGATCCCTGTGGTACTCCACAGGTAACCTTTGAGCGTGTTGAAGATCTATCATTAACATGAACAAACTGAATTCGATCAGATAGATAAGATTTAAACCAGTCTAGTGCTGTTCCTTTAATTCCAACAAAATATTCAAGTCTTTCTAAAAGAATATTATGGTCAACTGTATCAAATGCAGCACTAAGATCCAACAGGACGAGCACAGATACAAGTCCATTATCTGAGGCCATGAGAATATCATTAGTGACTTTCACCAGAGCTGTTTCAGTGCTATGATGAGCTCTAAAGCCAGACTGAAACTCTTCAAAAAGTTCATTATGGTGGAAGTGATCGCAAACTTGTTTGGCAACTACTTTCTCAAGAATTTTGGATAAGAAAGGAAGATTGGATATAGGTCTATAATTGACCAAGTCATCTGGGTCAAGAGACGGTTTCTTAAGCAGAGGTTTAATTACAGCAATCTTAAAAGCTTTAGGTACATATCCCTGTAACAGAGATAGATTAATCACATCTAAAATGGAGGAGGAGATCAAAGGGAATACCTCCTTAAATAACCTGGTTGGAACTGGATCTAACATACAAGTTGAAGGCTTAGATGAAGACAATAATTTTGCTAATTCAGAGAGTTCAACTGGATCAAAGCAGTCTAAACCCGGCTCAGATTCCATGACTACCTCAGGTACAATCGCGGATAGAGGAGTGCTTATGATCTTATTTTTAATAAGATCAATCTTATTTATAAAGAATCCCATAAAATCATTGCTGCTAAGAGCAGGTGGAATGGACGGTTCAACAGAGCTATGGCTCTGGGTGAGTTTGGCAACTGTATTAAAAAGAAATCTAGGATTATTCTTATTCTCCTCTATTAATGAGGAGAAGTATGCTGCTCTTGCTTTACAAAGGGTCCTCTTATACAGCAGTAAACCATTTTTCCAGACTAGGAAGGACTCTCGCAGGCCTGTGGAGCGATATTTTCTCTCCAGTTTCCTAGCATTTTGCTTCAAAGTACGCAGCTCTGCATTAAACCAAGGAGCAAGCTTTCTATTTTTAACGGTTTTCATTTTCAAAGGAGCTGCGTTGTCTAAGGCAATACGCAGAGAACTAGCAACCCCATCAACAAAATCATCAACCTGTGAAGGGGAATAAGCTAAGCTTTTGCACTCTGCAGCACTGCTCAGTGACACAGAGCAGAGAGAAAGTGAAGCAGATTCTTTAAAATTTATAACTGCACTATCTGATAAAGATCTACTAAAATTGAACCTTCTTTTGGGGGAGGAGAACTCTGTTAAAGTAATCCTGAAGGTTATTAGAAAGTGGTCAGAGAGGACAGGGTTGTGAGGAAATACTGTTATTTCTTCACATTCTATGCCGTATGTCAGCACAAGATCCAAAGTATGAAGATGAGAATGCGTGGGACTATTCACATTTTGAACAAAGCCAATAGTGTCTAAGATAGCATTAAAGGCTGCTCTTAAGCTATCGCCTTCAATGTCAGCATGGATGTTAAAATCTCCCACTATGATGACCCTGTCAGTATTTAATACCAAATCAGAAAGGAACTCTGAAAACTCATCTAAAAATTCAGAGTAAGGACCTGGTGGACGATACAAAGTTACAAAAAGAAGAGGTTTTCTTGCCTTGAAATTTGGATCAGGGAAATTAAGGGTTAAATGTTCAAAAGAGTTGTAGGTATTAATTGTTTTGGGAGTAATCAGTAAGTCAGACTGGAAGATTGTTGCTACTCCTCCTCCTCGCCCAGAACTTCTGGGGATGTGAAAATTTAAATAGCTTGAAGGAGTTGCCTCATTTATGCTCACATAATCCTCTTGCTGCAGCCAGGTTTCTGTAAGGCAAAACAAGTCAATGTGATTATCACAAATCAAGTCATTAACTAGTAGACTTTTAGAGGAAAGCGATCTTATGTTAAACAGACCGCATTTAATTGTTTTAACTTTTTCCCCAATTGGAGTTATTTTGATTTTAATTAGATTATCATGATTTACTCCTTTGGGAATCTTTGCTAATTTATTAGATTTTGGTCGTGGGCAAGACACTGTCTGGATGGAGTAAAGAGTGGGTAACAGTAGAGAAGCTGCAGAGATGTGTGTTAAACTACAACTCTGCTTCCTGGTCTGCACCCTGGGTGGTCAGGGTTTTGGAGGACTAATAAATGTGGCCAGATTCCTAGAAAGAAGAGCTGCACCATCCAAAGTGGGATGGATGCCGTCTCTCCGAATCAGACCAGGCTTTCCCCAAAAGGATTGCCAATTATTAATGTAGCCCACGTTGTTTTCAGGGCACCACCTAGACAACCAGCGGTTGAATGACGACATGCGGCTAAACATGTCATCACTGGTCAGATCAGGGAGGGGACCAGAGAAAATTACGGAGTCCGACATTTTTTTGGCAAACTTACACACCGAAGCAACACTAATTTTAGTGACCTCCGATCGGCGTAACCGGGTGTCATTACCACCAGCGTGAATAACAATCTTACTGTATTTAACCTTATCCTTAGCCAGTAGTTTCAGGTAGGATTTGATGTCGCCCGTTCTGGCCCCCGGCAAACATTTGACTATGGTCCCTGGTGTCTCTAATGCCACGTTTCTGACTATGGAGCTGCCAATCACCAGAGTGGGCTTCTCAGTGGGTGTGTCACTGAGTGGGGAAAACCGGTTAGAAACGTGAACGGGTTGGTGGTGACCAGTGGGCAGAGATCCACGACTACGCTTTCTGCGTACAGTTACCCAATCGCCTGGCTGCTCAGGCACTTTTGGAGGACAGCTACGTGGGGGGCCTACTTCAACAGCCTGAAGCCTGGATTCTAACTCTGACACCCTCGCCTCCAAAGCTACAAAAATACTACACTTATTACACATCCCATTATCACTAAAGGAGGCAGAGGAATAACTGAACATCTGACACAGAGAGCAGGAGAGAGGAGAGGAAGAAGGAAGAGTTGGAAAAGAGTCAAGGGAGGGAGAGAGAGAAGCCATAGCAATGCTAAGCTAGCGCTAGCCTAGGCTAGCTACTTCTTGCTATCAGAAATAAAACCGTGTGAAACTGACAAGTGCTCAGTAGAAAAGTGCAGCAGAAGGTGCTATGTTTTAAAGTAGTCAGTTAGAGTTACTTAGATACAGAGATAAAATAACTTAACTTCAGATGGAGATCCTCTGAACAGCTGCACACTCAGTTGCACACTCAGTTAATCCAAACAGGAAGTGAACAGGTCCAAACAGCCAAAACAAGAAAGCCAAAACAAGAAAGCCAAAAAAAAAGCGACCTTTATGTAGGGCATCAATTTTAATGTTAACCGATGAGCTGTGTTGAAAAAAAGGAAATATTATACTAAAATGTGTCTGGTTTGTAATTTTTTTTTTCTTTTTATTTCCTCCTAGAATGGAATAGTACACAGAGACCTGAAACTGGAGAATATTTTACTAGATGGAAATGGCAATGTGAAGGTATGCATGCTGCGTTTACGTTTTATTATTATTTACACACAAGAACTTATCAGACTTTGGAAATTTTAGCAGAATTTCTCTCTTTTAGCTTCAATTTTTATATTTTAAAAGTATTTTTGGAATCTCTTACGTGATTAAGACTTTGTTTTTATTCTTAGAGTGGCTCTTAAAACTGCATTTACACTTGGCAAATATACTAACTGTGTTTACACCTGCTAAATTACTAAGCTGTATTAAAGAAGGAATAGCTGGTTGTATAAATGTCCATACTTTTGTTCATACAAATGTTTAGAATCATTTGTGCATGTGGTTTTACATGTAAGGTTGCAGGAAAAGGGACCCTTTGTCGTTTTTTTTTCTTCTATCATATGGTATGAACTGTTCCAAGTGTCAGCTAGTTTCGTTCCCAAATCTTCAGCATCCAATTATCAATGTAATGCTTTACCTGACATTTAAAAAAACGGATGACAACTATATATGTGGGATGCTGCTGTGTTCCTGCTGAAAAGACTTGCATCTTTTACTCAAGATGCTTAAAAAAGATTAAGTTTAATTATGGGCACACTTGTGAACTGCTTTTGTTTTTATATAAGTTTTTCCCCAGTCTGATTTGATTTTCCGTCTTGTGGTACAGGATGTAGGTCACATTTAATGTTGAAATGGTTTTATCATAGACTGATGTTTTTATTTGCAAAAATGTTGAACAAGGGTTGAATACTGTTTGAATTAATCTTGAACAAGAAGTCATCTCTAATAGTGGAAAGCTGAAATGATCATGGAGGGTAACTGGAAATCTGCAGTGACCTTTTGATTTCATCTTCTCTCAGATTGCTGACTTCGGGTTGTCCAACCTCTACCACGGGGATGAATATCTTCAAACCTTTTGCGGCAGCCCTCTGTATGCTTCCCCAGAGATCGTCAATGGGCGGCCATACCGTGGGCCTGAGGTGGACACCTGGTCCTTGGGTGTGCTGTTGTACACAATGGTTCATGGCACGATGCCATTTGATGGACTCAACCACAAAATCCTGGTCCAGCAGATTAGCACAGGAAACTACCGCAAACCAAACAAACCTTCTGGTACATCTGAAACCTGGTTTTTGCTTGTTATATTTATGTCCAATTGTAGGTTTTGACTGATGACTTCTTCCTTCTTTTGTTCTTACAGATGCTTGTGGACTCATTCGTTGGATGCTCATGGTGAATCCTGAGCGCAGGGCTACAGTTGAGGAAGTTGCTGGACACTGGTGGCTAAACTGGGGCTACCAGCAGCCACTGCTCTGTGAGAGGAAGGACAGTCTGACAGAGCAAACCTCTCCGCCGGTATCCCCATCTACACCCAATCTAACAGGGCTGGCTACTGTTGCGAGCTGGCTGCGCCGTACATCCAGACCTTTATTGGAGAATGGCTCCAAGATGCGTTGTTTGCTACGGTCGCAGGTCGGCGGAGGCGATGTGGTTCGACAGCGCTCTCTGCGAAGGTCTCATAAGGAGAACAATGTCTCCCAAACATTTAATGAAGCGAGCACTGATTCTCGGCCCTGTAAGGGTATTCTCAAGAGACATAATAGCATAAAACAGAAGACTATAAATGAGTGTCCAACGGTGGGTTCACTGAATTCACTAAACATTTCTCAGATCCCTTCTGTTGCAGCGATGCCTCGTAAAGGCATTCTAAAGAAACCCGTAGAGCAAGAGTCGGGGTATTATTCTTCTTCACCGGAACACAGCGACTCTGGCTGGGTGCCACAGACTAAAGAATGTCCTTCGGATCCACCCTGTAGGAAGGGAATCCTCAAGCGAAATGGAAAGTTTTCTTCAGGTGGGCTTCAAGAGTTTGGCTCTTTGGATCAGCTGGCAGCTTCTCTACCGAGAGGGGCCCCCATGTCCAGACCAAGTGGGGCCATCAGTGAAGATAGTATTCTGTCCTCTGAGTCCTTTGATCAACTCGACCTGCCAGACCACGTGAGACCCCCGATACAAACGGACAAACCAGCCAAAACTAGCATGAGAGGCAGCATCTCTGCAGACAATCTGTTGGACATAGCTGAAGACCGGATCCTGGCTGATGGCGCACTGAGACCGTGGGACTGTTATGGGTCCGGAGTGGCCGACAGTGCCTTCTCCATCAGTGACTGCGATAATGTGACCGAAACTTACAAACAGGCCATGGTTATACGGGGATCTGGAGCAAGCTAAGGGTCAGTCTAAAAATGGACAAACATAGCCTAATGAGGACACGGCTGGACTGGTGGAAATACGGGCTCACGTTTACTTTCTGGAAAACTTGAACTACACCGTGCCAAAAAGGGAAGATATGCTTACAAAGATCAGGTTTTATTTTAGATGTTTGATAAAAAAGGTTTAACTTAGAAAATTACACTGGTTTTAATATTATTTCAACTAAACAGACCTGCAGATCAGTTAAACATTATTTTAGGGGGAAGAAAATATCTAAAGATGAAAATTTGAGAGTCCTATTGTATATACCTGTAGTGCCCGATGACTTTATCCCATTTTAACCAAAACTGTGGTTTGGAGACGATATTTCCACAGCCGTCGATTTAAAGACGATCTTTCATATTTGTCCTAATATAGCCAGTGTTTGATGAGGGGCTACTTTATCACATCGACTTTGATTTTAATGCCATTATCGTGAGTCAACACTGTTTTTTACCTGTTTAAGATTCAGTTAATGATCAATAAGTAGAAAAATCAGGTTCAATGTTACGATTACTTGTCTGCTGTTTTAAACTTGAGATTTTTCTGTGTGCAAGATGACATCTTGTAGACCAAAGAGTAAGAGTAAGTTGTTGGATAAAAAAAAACAAGTGCCAAGATTATGTTTGCTTGCAAGTGATACCTAGTCTTGGTGTTTTTGTTTTTCCATTAAATTATTTGTTTGGATAATGACTTTGGGAAAAAAATGATGTGGTTTAACTGGTGCAACCTGCTTTGCCTCCAGGCTTGCACTGATTGCCTTTGACTATTTGCGTGCATGATGCAGGCTTAGTGAGGGTGAGGCTCTTTGAGTCCTTATTGCTGGGAATATAAACCTGTGTTTGTATGTCCCGGCATATCTGCAGTAAAGGTGAGGCATTGAGAGTTGGCTTTTTGGAGTATTCTGTATTCTGATCTTCATTAACTCATACTTGAAATGAATAACCACATATGCACATGAAATGTTTAATTAGGGCTGAAGTTTTTTCAATGCTACTTTCATATCAGCCTAATTTGGGGTATCATTTTTGTTTTTTTTATTTATTTAAAAAGGGCAGGAGATATGTCTGTATTTTTGTTTTTCTTTGATTAAAAATGTATGCATGATGACACACAAATTGCCTCTTTCTATTGGTAATAATTTAGGCCTAGCAGAACAATTTAATGGCCGCTTTAATGTTAAAGCTGCATATACATGCTGCTATTAAGAAAAAATCTGTAATTTTAAATAAAGGAATTGTTATTTTGGCTCATCAGGAACAGACCGTCTGCATGTTTGCACTAGGAATCCCTTTCCACCTGGAAATCATTTCCACATCTCTACAAATATGCTTTCAGTGATTAACTTAATGTAAACGTGGTCATTTTGTCATCTTTTTCTTCAGAAAAGGTTGAAGTTTGCAGGCTTTTTCTGTGTTGTTATGGTGTCTGTTTGCTAAAGTCTCTGGCATATCAGTTTGCTTGATCCACATACTTGGACAAAAGAATAAAATAAAAAATCAAAGAACTCAGTTGCTGACTGTTTTTTGTGACCCACATAGGATTTAGATTTGTTTTTTTGTTTAAGTTTGTTTTGGAGTCATTATGGATGTTGAAATCATGCAGAAATGTCAAGTTAAACTTATCGGAGCTGCAGACGAGGTACAAAGAAACTCAAACACATTGCAGTAGAAAGGTAAACATTGCTGTCAAGCCTGAAGTGGAGTCAAGTATCACAAGAGTAAAGACTACTCTGCAAGCACAGTCAGAAATTTCAGAGCTATTTTTAATGCAATATAAATCAACATTTTGAGAACAAAAAAAAAAAAAAAAAGAATTTGGGAAATTGATGCCTTTCAATTTCGTTGCTTCCCGAATCTGGTCTCCTGAATAGGCAGGGAGGAAGGCTTAAGCTTGGTTTCCTGGGATGGTTTAAGCATTGTCAGGACATCCTGGATGTCTGCAGGGCTGTAGCTGATCCCTGAACTGTATGTTTCTGTCCTGCTGAATCTTATCCTGGAAACAGCAGGGCAGGTTGAACTCCAACACGCTTCCTAGCAGCTCGCAGCAGCAGAGGATGGTATTCTGTTCAGGGTCAGATTACAAAACATCGTTGACACATTTTGGATAGCGGTATACATTAACACATAGAAATGAGCTATATCTAAAAAAAAAAATATGGGAGCATTGAGATCAATGAGGATATCAAAAAGTTTATTTCAGCAATCTAATTTTAAAGGATTTTAAAGTACTAATGACAACTTAAAGGTAATTTATCTGCATCTCAAATCCAGACTTTGTCTAGACCAATCCGACACCATGGGGTTTTTTTGTTGCTTTTTTTTTCTTCACTTCCCTTCCACAAAGCCCAAAGTTCAGCCTTAGGATTTTCTCTTACAATGCAAAATTCAGTTAAATCAGGATCTTCGGTTTACTCGGCTAGTGAAACATCAAATTAGACTCAGACTATCACATTATACCCATTCGGAGTTTAAGAATGGTGCTCTATTAAAAAAGAATAAATATGCATTCACATTCACACTAGATGCAAACCTTTACATAGAAGAATAAACAATATTTTACTACAAGTTTGAGGATCATCACATTTTATTTACAAATGGCCTTTTATGTTCTTTTCCATCCCCAGTTATCTTGACCTTGAAACTCTTTCATGAGCGCATTTTTTTGCCCAGCCTCTCTGATTATTAACTCTGACCTTAACTGAATCAAATAACTCCTGAAAACTTTAAATGTTCTTCTAAGCTCTTTTCTGACCTCCTGGGTGAAGTGTGACGACACTCCTGTTGTAATCTTATGTTGAGCATTCCTGGGAAAGTTCACCACTGTTCTATGGTTTTATTATACATATGGACAACAGCTTGTTGTGACTTTAGAGCTGTGCAACCCTTTTAATAACTAATTCATTATGGTTCCTCTGATTACTGTTTAATTTTGTGTGTTTTTTTAACACCTAACAGGTTAGATGAGAGCTATTAAAAATTATTCTTTATTTAACAGTTCTTAAGTTAATGGAACCAGTGGCATCAAATCAAATATGATTAATTACTGTTAATCCATGATTAAAGAAGGGGATAATTATTCTTTTACATAGGCCCAATTTAGCCTGAACAAGGTTTTTTTTAAACTGAAAGTGAAATAATGAAAATAAATCATTTAAAAACCACTTCAAGGGATTAATAAGAACTTTTTGTATTAGATTTTATCATTTTTTTTATGCTTAAAACATTTAAGTCTGACCAAAAAAATATATATAAATGTCTTTTTTTTTTGGCTGATGAGGAAGTTTTGGGGGGAAAATGCTCAAAAACATTCTGATCATTGTTGACAGGGCAAAGTCAAAGTAATAGTAGCAAATTCTGGTTAAATATTACCCTTACCAGATCAGTAGCCAACAGGTTGGCCAACAGTTTAGCAACTGAATCAGATGAGTCGTGTCTGTCCACCATCTTTAGCCTGTGCATAGCAGTGCTGACGCAGGCACATGTAAGAGTAGAAGGTAAGAAGGCCAAAAACCTGCAGTCTAAAGAACAAAAAGAGAGTGGGAGGGGGTTACTGGTTTTAATCATTGCAAAGATTTCTGAGATCCGCAAAGCAACACTGAGACACACCCTGAAAGACAAACAGAGAGAGGAAGTCCTTTCTCAAAACCTGTCCACCTAATATCTTAACTGCTGCAGGCAGGAGAAATCCTTAGACACATCCATTCTGTCTTTGTATCGCACATTTTTCAGTGAAGTAAACTGTTGAGATCTGGGAATTCTTTTACTTGTATGTGCTGTAATGCTATAGTCTGTTTAAACGGAAACTAACCAAAGGTATCCTTGTGACCTGCTGCCTCTGGCAGCATCACAGAGATTCGTGGGAACTGAGCCAGCTGAATAGTCGGACCCAGGTCTTTCAGAGCAGAACAATGTAGGATTACACAAACTCAGCTCCCTGCTTCCAAAAACAAAGTGCTGACACACTGTGACCAAAGTAGCCATTGCTGCCAACTGTTCTCTGCTCCAAAGACAGTGTGTAACAATTTAAAACGTGGAAAATGCTTGATTATGTTAGTTATTCACTCACTAGAACCATAACAGAGATCCCTTTTATTGCAGTGAAATGTGTTTACCAAGTAAATCAACTTTTGTTCCTCTTTATTTTAGCCAACCATCTCATGTGTAGGTAACTGAATTATGTAACTTACCCGTTAGCGCCAGAGCGATGTAGGAGTGAACATGCCGGCGGATGAGCTGGAGGTGAGGGGCCCGGACAAAAGGAACAACATGAAGAATTGGCTCCAGGAAGTCAGAGGGGATCACAGAGGCTAGACACCAGTCTAACCTGGACACCACCGCTACCTCCCACTGCTGCAACATACACATTCCTTTAAAGCAATCCACCATTATAATCTCACAGCGGGACCTTCACACACAAGGCCATTAGATATTAATACCCTTGACCCCATGTTGACACTCAGGAAGGACGTTATCCTTCCAGAGCAGAGTTAAAATGCAAAGCTCCTTAGTCATGCGTGCCTGAATACGATTCAATCACACTGGAAAAAAATCAAAATCTAGATAAGTAATTTTTTTTTCTTAAAATAAGTGCATTTGTTCTTGAATTGAGGAGGAAAAAGAGACATTTTGCCAATGAAACAAGACAATTTACACTTAAAATAAGAAAAGACAATTTCTTTGTCTTATTTTAAGTGAATAGTATCTTATTATCTTATTTTAAAAGTAAAAATACTCATTCTATTAGCAAACTATCTCATTTACCTACTCCAATTGAGGGTAAATACACTTAATTTAAGAAACTAGATTGTTTTTCTAGTGCATCGACATATGCTGAAAAGAAGTTCCAATTATGCATTTTCGAAATCATACAAAAATTGACTTTAGTGATGGTTTAAACTTATAACATTGTAATTGATTAATGCTGTATGATCTTTTTAGGTTATTTTCTTCATTATTTGTTCATAATATGATGATTTATTTAATGTTTTAATGTATTTAATGAAGCTGTCCTTGTTAAATCAGAAGCTGTTCTCCATGCTGTCCTCTGGGAAGAGGCTTCGCAGCATCTGCTGCAGGTCCAGCAGGTTCTGTAATAACTTTTTCCACACTGCTAACACACTGGTGAACTGTTGAAAAAACTCTAAATAAAGTCAGAAATCGAGACTCTGCATCAAACTGATAACATCCAACTAATAGAACTCAAATTAAATGTTTTTCTACTTCATTTTTGCACCATATTTATTTGTTTTAGCGCTGCTCTGAACTTCCATATCAATGCCTTTTGGGGGGGGGTCTTCTGGTTCCCATAATGTCTTTTAAAATAATTCTTCAGATAGTAATTTGACTTTTGTAGAAATTGCTTAAAAGAAAAATTCAGCTTCAAGTACACATGTTCATGTAATTTCATATAGTGTATAGTATTGTTCCTACATGTATTTTTTAGACGCTTCACATCAAATATGCAAGTGCTAGAAGATTTACCAGGATTTCTGAGGCTGAAACTGAGTTTTCTGTGTAGAAAGAAAGTTTTTCAGCTGTCAGAGGGACTGTTTCTCTCATTTTGGAGGCCAGAAACATGCAGACGGCCCCTAAAAGCTGCAGCTTGGACCTCTCAATAGTGTAGCGGCTCAGGTAGGAGTCCAGGTGGAACACCGCCTGGGGAAACACTTCCTCCTCACACAGCTGCTCCTCACACACCTATTAAAAAAATTATTTATTTTATAACTTTGTAATAATAATAATAAAAAAAAACGACTTAATTTTGCTATTGTTGGAAATAAGACACATTTGACATGCCCTGAATATCCAGACTGTAAGTATCTTCCTCATATGCGGTTGGATGTCCCTCTGGACCTCCCAAAGGGAGGAGGTGGACATGCTGCTGCCCTCCTCCAGGGACCGCAGGTTCTCCAGGACTCTGAGGTCCCCGATGACTGAGGGGTCTGTCCCTGCTCTGGGGACCACAACCTGGCCTGAGTCAGCAGGTTCAACCCCTGAGTCGTATTTGAAGCTTTCCATCTTTCCTTGCCAGTTCTGAAGCCGGAAAATTAGCTAAAAACGCCTCTTCTAGCTAGCATTAGCTGCTTAACCATGCGTGTTGTTACCATGGTGATGGTAGCTGCTGGTGCCGCAAAATGTTTTTAACCCCTGATGTTTTACCGACATTTCTATTTTTATAGTAATACTGAAACATACGTCATTAAAATATGAATACTACGGGAAGTTATCTAGCATTAATTTAAAGAAATAGTTTTTAAAACACGAACGTCATTAAATTACCCTTGCTCACCAGGGGCGGAGCTAGATGGGGGCCCAGAGGTGGTGGCCATGGCCACCCCTACCATTTATTTCCCCTCTAATACAGGTGATGGCAGCAGTAATACCCTCAAGTGGAATATTCAAAACATTTTTCATATATTAACAATTACTTTACCACAAAAACACTGGTATATTATGCACACCAATATACTAACATTAAATATGATAGGTACAGAATTCATGCTCTTCAGAAACAGATTTTGTTATATGGGGTAAAGAGAAAATTTCTCTGCAAGTCACTTAGGAGTTTTCAGTGAAATCATAAATGTTTTAATAAAAACTTATTAAATAATCAATCTATGTAGATATTATTACTTGTAAATACCAGTTTTATGCAGAAGGATTACTGATAAAAGTAGGTAAGCAATGACTATGACTTTATTAAAAAATATGGATGTTTTGCTCGTTAATTTTCCTGTTGGAACAGTGCAGATTGCCGTAGGCCAAGCTGTATTTCTTTTCAAATAAATTTTTTTATTTACTTAATTTTACATGTATTTTAATAATTCTATGGCCAATTTCCCAATTTAATTGTAGGTTTCATGTTTTTATTAGACAAATACATAAATGTTGCATCAACTTATTTTATGACATTCATTTCATGATAGATTTGGCCCTCTATATACTCAAAAATGTGAAAACCCTTTTAACAACCCCCTCTTTCAGAACCCCTGCTCTTAAGCATTTGCCCTCTGTTGTCAAATCATGTATTAATTACTTTTTTAGTACATGGATTGAATATTTGATTAAATCTATTGTCCCAAAGGAAATTTGATTTGGGTACATACTCTGGCTGCTACATAGTGAAAACTATGTGTCACACTACATTCACATATAAAAACACTGCTATAGAAATTCCATTATAAGACAATAAATACATAAGGGAGCATGTTACATTACATTCACAATAAAAAATTGGGAAAAATGTATAAAAACCCTTCTTTAAAAAATCTGTTATATGAGATAATACACACATAAAAATGTGACACATGTCAGTTTAAATTTTTAATACCATTGCCTATTTCACAATTTACTGCAATTTACTGAATATTAAATACCCTAAATGAAAGAAGAACCTGTCTGGCAACATGGAGCAGGTCAGACAATCTTAAACCCAATCTAAGAAAATTCAAGAATTGCTGAAAGACCAAGTAATTGATCCTTCCCTGTAAGTATGATTAAACTATCATTTGGGTTTTCGGCATACTGCAGTAAAAGCCATTATCCACAAATGGGATAACTTTTTTTTATGTTTCACGTTAGACTAATAAAACTAGAAGAAATCTTTAATGGGTCGATCCTTTTTTCTTTCAAACGCCACAGCAAACCGGAGAAAATCCAATAAAGTTGGAAAGTGGATAATAAGCGGTTGGATAACAAGGGAATATGAAAAAAAACAGCTGATATATGGATTCTAGTAACTGAATTATTATTGTATTTCGTAATGACAAAACTGATTAAAGATTGGGGTTAAAAAAAGAGCATTAAAGAATAAAAAAAAACAATAAATGGGTGGTAAAAGTATTTATAGATTTTTTTTCCCTTAAGACAGCCACTATTAAACAGTGAGAGGCTCTTTTTCACACCACTCAGTAGTTTGTAAAGGTTTTCTTTCAGAAAGTTTTGTTCAACTTTTCCAAGACTTTAACCCTTTATCGGGCAAGTTACCATATTTGAGCACTTCCGGAGACCTTCTAAATGACGTCACTGCGGCCTCGCGCATACTTGTCGAGTCACGTGATTTGGCCCAGCCAATCAGCAGGGACTAAGCTTGTTACGGTTCGCGCCATTGCGCCGTTCGACCAATCAGCGCGTGTCTGTGACGCGCGAAACGTCAGTGTTTTCCCGGGAGCAGGAAATCACCACTTCGCGGCTTGATTTCTCTAGCGTTTTCACTCGGCTCTCCAAAACTAACCATGGTAAGTTTATTAAACTTTCACATTACACGGTTGAGAAGTTGTACTAAATGATGACAGACATGTTTTTTTCGTGAGACTTTTGGAAATTGGCGAAATCATAGCATGAAAAACAGGGAGCACATATATGTGCATATGCCCAAAACAAGTAAAAACAGACCTGCATCAGTTTCGCCTACTTTAACTCATATGTTCTTTGTTTCTGAGCCACATTTTTGAGTTTCTGTTTACCAAACACGCATTATAACCAACAAATAAAACATTAGAATCTTATCTGATGCTTTTAGAAGCTTTTATAATGATTTATTCACATATATATCTCACTTCTAAAGATTATATAGCTAAAAATGGTGAAAATAAGTGATTTTGGATGTTTTTGTATTATATTTTGTATCACTTAACTGTTATTTTATGTCTTAATAGTATTATTATTTATATTATTAATTGTTTATATTGAATAAGTGATATTATGACTAGTTTTAGTGCTTTTCAAGTATATGGCATATTATTATCCACATAATGACAGTAGCAGTAATAAAAATATACAATAATTATAATATTTTTCTGTTGCAGATTTCAACAAACATGTTTTATGGAAAGAGGAAGGCGGTTGTGATTGTTCCAGCCAACCCTGCCATCAGCGATGACGAAGAGGATGAGGAAGATGATGTGGAGGTCGATCCTGATTACATTCCAGTCAGCCACAACCTGGACACTCCCACCACAAGTGAGATGAGTCCTCCTGCCAAGAGGAGACATGTGCAGCCTGCAGTGGAGGTGCTTCAGGATGGGGAAGATGAGGATGAAAATGAAGATCAAGATGAGCAGGTTATACCGCAAGCTAAGGGTCCCACTAAACCCAAACCCAGACCCACCACCTGGAGGAAAACCAAATTAAGAAATTCACCTCTGCCTGAGTACCAGCACTCTGCTCCCAACTTTATTGGGAAACCTTTTGTGTACTTTTTAAGATACTTTACCCCACAATTCATTAGCCACATAACTTATCACACCAACCTGTACGCCAGTCAAAAGGACATTAACACCACCTTCACCACCAATGAGGATGAGATGATGAAATTTGTAGGAATTCTCATCTACATGGGCATGGTAGAACTGCCATCTATAGATTACTACTGGGCCATGGACACCAGGGTTCCTCAGATTGCCAACACCATGTCATCAAAGAGGTTCAGGCTGCTCAGAAGGATGATCCACTTCAATGACAACACCCTTATCCCTGGCACCACTGACCGCTTCTTCAAGGTCCGGCCATTGTTCACCTTCCTCTGCAGTGCCTTCAGAAGTGAGGAGCAGACCCCGAAGCAGTCAGTGGATGAGGTGATGGTTGCCTTCAAAGGGAAGACAGCTGGGAACTTGAGGCAGTATATTAAAAACAAGCCTGACAAGTGGGGGTTTAAGTTGTTTGCCAGGGCCTCTGAGGATGGATTTATCCATGACATGGTCCTATACCAGGGCAAGACTACGCTGGAGGCCCATGGTGTCCCCCTGACACCTGAACAAAGAGCCTTGGGCGCCACCAGCCAGATTGTCTCTGTCCTGGCCAGTACCATGTCATCCTCCACCACAACAGCCATCTTCGCTGACAACTTTTTCACCAGCTTGGAGCTAGTCCGGTACCTCAAAACTCAGAACTGCAGGTAACAATTACTTTCTGTGAGTGAGTGAATGAATGATTACATTTTTGTTGCACTTTACTGCTGGATATGTAACCCACTTACATTGGATCCATTATTCATCCATTCCATATTTATGTGTTCAGATACACAGGAACTGCAAGGGACAACAGAATTGGACATCCTCCCCTAAAGTCCATCACAGAGATGGAGAAAAAAGGTGTCCCTCGTGGGACCTGTCACTCCGTTGTCAGTGATGATGGGATCCTGGTCCTCAGGTGGAAGGACAATAAAGTTGTCACTCTGCTTTCGACAGACATGGGAGTGGAACCTCTGTCATCTGTCTACAGGTATTGTTTATTTTAGTTTTGTCTGATTGTGTTGTTCCTGTAGATGTCAGTGCTGCCTTTATATTTTTTTTTTTACTTAGCCATTTATTTTCCTCCATTCATTTATATTTTTACACTTTTTATGGAGCTGTTACAACACCAAATTTCACTAATGGTGATCAATAAAACAAAATCGTGTTTTAGGTTCTCCAGTGAATCCAAAAAGAAGGAACCTGTGAGCTGTCCTGCAGTCATCAAAAGCTACAATTCCAACATGGGGGGGATTGACAAGAGCGACATGTTGGTGCACCTGTACCGCACCCCCATGAAGTCCAAGAGGTGGTATATGCGTCTGTTTGCATACACTATTGATCTGGCCATCTCAAATGCCTGGCTGATGTACAGGCGGGACTGCAAGGAACTGAAACTGGACAGCCAGTCTCTGAAAAGCTTCCGGATCGAGGTGTTCAAGCATGCCTCTAACCAAAGGCTGTCTGTAGTTCGCTTAGGAAGAAGCTCTGACAGTCTGAGAGCTGCCTTTGATGTTCCCAAGCCAGTCCGAGGACATCGCTGCTCCAACCCCACTGAGGCTGTGCGTTTCGACCACTCCGTGTTCCACGTTCCTGTCTACACTCATCGCCAAACATGCAAGTACTGCAGCAGGAAAGACAACATTGCAAGGTCCAATGTTTTCTGCGGGGTTTGCAAGGTCCATCTCTGCCTAAATGCAACACGCAACTGCTTTGCTGAGTACCACAACCCTAAATAAAGATAGTCAATAGATATTTAGAAGGCAGTAAGGCACTGAACGTTCTAAAATACTGTGAAAGAACTTTATTTCACAGTATTTTGGAACATTCAGTGCCTTACTGCCTTCTCAACATAAATTTATGTTCTAAAATGCTGTGAAATAATCAAAGTTCTATTTATGTTGAGAAGGCACTAAGACACTGAATGTTCTAAAATACTGTGAAATAATAAAGTTTTATCTATGTTGAAAAGGCACTAAGCCACTGAATGTTCTAAAATACTGTGAAATAATAAAGTTTTATTTATGTTGAAAAGGCACTAAGCCACTGAATGTTCTAAAATACTGTAAAATTTTAAAGTTTTATTTATGTTGAAAAAGCACTAAGACACTGAAGGTTCTAAAATACTGCAAAATGATAAAGTTCTATTTATGATGAGAAAGCAGTAAGGCACTGCAACATCCATCCATTGTTCTATTTTCCTATTATTATATTGTATTGTTATGAAATGTTACATTATACTCTATATTTAAAATATTCTGTCATGATTTTAGATGTTTTCTATGAAGTATTATCTTGTTAAAGTGGTTTCATAATGTTATTAAATGGTGTAAACAAATGTTTATTAAACTATTTCATGTTTTTTCAACAAATTCTATCTTGTGTTCTTTTTAGATTTTTTTTTACCAGAACGGGGCAAGTTACCATATATGATCACTTCGTTTCCTGTGATTTTCAGCATGAAAATGAAATTTTTTTAATAATGTAATTACAGATTATTATTATTGATATATACCACAATGACACCCTGAGATGGAAATTTAACATTTCAAAGTTTTTCAATGAGTGCCCTATAAAGGGTTAAACAATGAGTGAAGTCATGACTTAAAGACAGGATTTGATTTTGTGTGGCTGGTTGAAAAGCAATGACAGTAAATAAAGATCAATGATAACTAAAGCACTCTAAATCAAATTCACACAAAAAATAGTCTCTTTATTCCAAAGCTCACTCATGTTATGAAATAAACTCTTACATCACCACTAATGAGCAAGTCTGTGTGTCAGCAAGATGGAGCCAGATCACAATTACAACTCCCGGTTTCCACAAAGGTCTTTCTGACATGACAGTAGCCAAAGAGAAATGAGAAAGCAGTGATGCAGACTGATTCAGTCCATCTCAACTACAGCAGGGAGTCCAACTTCAACATCTCTTGACTCTGAGTTCTGCAACTCTCTGCGAACCTCTGCTGAAATGTACGGGTGTGTCTGGATCTTCAGCAGCTCCAGCAGTGCTTCCTTCTGCTCAGTGGCAAGGTCGGCCTTGTAACGCTGGGCCAGGGTGAGGAGGCTCTGATGCCACAGCACAGGAAGAACACGTTTGTCACTACGGAAGGACAGGAAGTGAGCCACCAAGGCATCCAGGACACGGAAAGGCAGGGCGTACTTCTTGTCCAGCAAGAGACGTAGGAAAATGCTGTTGGCACCGTTGTACTCCATCTCTGCCAACTTAAGCATTGCCGCGCTGAAAGACAAGAATGATTGGACCAGTTATATGACCCTGGACTACATAACCCCGGCTCTGACATAACACTGTGACAGTGAACTGTGGGTGTAAGCGAGCCGGCCTACCTGGAGTGCAGCACAGGGATGGAGCATTTGGTTAGTATGCTTCCAATAATGATGGCTTCCCTCAGGGTACAGGTCCCAGATTCACATAACGGAATCAGTATACCTGTGTTCCAATAAAAACAGAAAGTAAAGGTTAATTATTCTATCTAGAACTTAAAAACAACTTATCATTTCAGCTTTTCTATCAAGGTTCACATGGGTTTGTTAGAGAACATCAGTGAAAGAACAGGGAACACAGCAATTGTTTTCGGGCAGGTTCCATTATGTAAAAGGTTCTATATAATCGCAGAAAGACGTTTAATTAGAGGTTCTATGGCAAACTGATAACCTGCCAAGATGTAGGAACTAGCTGAAGTGCATTAATCAGACATCGGCCATTGGTAAACTTTGGAGCAGCTGCAGAGATCTGATGCTCAAGTGGGGAAATCTGTGGACAGGACAACTATTAGTGGTGTATTTCAAAAAGATGATCCTTATGGGTGTGTGATAAAACAACAAGCCACAAGAAGTCTTGGTAGAACTTTGCCAGAGGCTATGAAGGAATTAAAATAAATTATTAATAAATAATAAAAATTTTTGTAACATGAGTTCCCCTCTTAACCAAAAGTATTGATGATTGTACAAAAGTGGAACGTACAATATCTGAAATAAAGACTATTTTACTTAATCTTTTAATTTGAGCATTTAATTTTTATAATTTTATGCTTTCCATAAAAAAAAAAGAAAAAAAAAACACAAATATGTTGCCTAGAAGTTAATAACTTTTTGGCTGAAAGAAAAGCACGTTTTATTTTTTTTTTAATTGGTCCTCACAAAGCAAAACAGGTCCCTGCCCTATTTTATTTCACTCCCTAAGAAATATAATATTTTCATGTACCCCTTGCAATGCACTCACAGACCACTAGGGGTACAGAAACCCCAGGTTGGGAATCGCTGGTGTACACCAGTTTATGACATGAGGAAATGGAAAACAGTTGTTTTAGACTTTCTTGAAGCATCTTCGTGTTCCCCAAAAGTAACAGTAATTTTTGAGTTTTTCACAATCTCTTGATCGTAGCGATATTTAAAGGCTAAATCCAAAAACGTGTCTAGAAGTTTATAATTATGAACCATCAGCTACCGGAACTGTCGAAATGTTTTTCCATTTGAAGTTGGCTGCATGGTTTTAAATGTTTCTAGCTATGCTTTATAGAAATGTTGTCAATGCCGTGCTGAGGGTTGTGGAAGATAAATGACGGAATTTGGCTGTGCAGAGCTCGGGGATGGATGGCGCCAAACACAAGGCATTCCTGAAAGGAATCCTGCAGGGGCTGCAGAAGCCTTGAGAATGGGTTGGAGATTCACCTTGCAGCAAAACAAATACAAAACAACAACCCAGATATATAACAGCTGATTGCTGTGCTTTAATGACGTTGACAAAGTCCACAACTTAATTATATCAGAATAAAAAAATGCTGAAAACGAATCAACCTTCCAAGACTTTTTATTCTTATAAAATATTGGAGAAACGTGTACCTGTTATTTATAGTTAATCTTTCCCACTACTTGGTTTGTGTTTATCAATTAAAACCCCAGCAGAAAATAAATACCCATGTGGAAAAGTACAGGGGGTAGGAATGGGGGCCACAGGATGCCTCTTCATTGAAAAGCCAAAAAAAGACATTAACCTTCGCCCTTCAGCCAGAACACTGAATACCGATAGTGGATTGGTCTCCCAGTGAGACAACAACCTAAAACACACTGCAAAGGTCAGTGTGTTTTTTTCATGGAAGTGGATTTACTGCCACACAGAATGGAAGAGAAAGATGCAGCCAGCAAGCAGACCAATGCATACAAGGAGAAGTAAGCACTTTCCCCACAAAACAGTAAGGTCCTGCTACAATGGACTCTGGACGAGCAAGAAAACAATAAAAATCCTGGAGTGAATTATCTATATGCAAAGAAACATCCCAAAAATAATTGCAGCTATAATGGCAATTACAGTATATGCAGGTCACCCATCGGGGGAATGACTAGTTTTAAGATGGACAAGGCATAGACAATCACACACAGCAGTGCATTGCTACGTGTAATTTTGGAGCAATAGCAGATTTGGCATTGCTGGAGGACATCCTCAAAGAGGCAGCATGTTTTTAGAGATCATACTGTCCTGCTGGCAGATGAAGATGCAGGGCTTCTTAGCTGCGGTTTAGATTGTCTAGGGGGATTATTTTGGAGTCCTGAATGGAGCCGACACCAGTGTTAAGGCGGGAACACAGGGTTCATCTACATTCTCACTATGCTGGGCTTCTTAAATATGAATTAGTATTATATAGCTAAATAATTTGGTTTAATGGTTTGAATGTATTCAGCTCCTGCTGTGATTATGACATTTTTCACATTAAGCCTCCTTTCCCCCCCCCCTTTTTTACATACCAATACTTGAGGAATAAATGCCAAACACAGTAAAACCTGTATTCCATAATCTTCACATTGCTTTAGTAACCACCATTGCCACTGTCATTTCGACATGTGATGAGAGCCTTCATTGTATACTGCTTTGCATTTTTTTGTTGGTGGGGTCAGAGCGGCCCAGAGGAGCCTGCAGCTACGCCCCATTCTATGCAAATAAGAACGTGTGATGAAAAAAGGTGAAAGGAACACGTGCAAGCACAGTTTCAGCCAACAGACTTAAGATATATACCACCACCTTTAAACATGAAAGCTGCAGACTCTTTTGTCTTTTTAAGTAATTCTCTCTGCTTTTACACAATTGACTTTGATTTATTAGGTTATTAGGAGGCTTCTGTAGCAATCAAAGCCATGATGAGGAAGTAATGCAATCATCTGAATGAGAGGCGCAGGAACAGAGAGCTGCTAACGACAGGTTTAGATCTTTGTGTGATAAAGTGTAATCATTTTTCTCCACTAAGCCTCTTTGTTTCAACTTTAACGACTTGACTGATAAACTGTTATCCATGTCATATGCATCATTAGTATACGTCCATTATCATCTTGAAAAGCAGCTGATGTAGAAAAATCAAGTAAAAAGCTGCATAATTGAAGGCAATTGTAGCCGTTGTTTTACAGGGTTTTAGTTATGAATTGAGTTAACTTCTGTAACCATAAGGGAAATAAAAATAAAGCTATCTTCATACCAAAGCACTAATCTCTTGTATCTTATGGATACATGCAAAATAATTTATTCTAATGAGGGCTAATATTTTATTTTCTTACTAACAATTAGAGAGTGAATGGAAACATCTCTGAGTTATAAAGCATCAGGAAGACATTAGAACTAATTTCAGAGAAATTCTGCCCTCTAGTGATGACTCATAACCTTTTTATCTAAAGATTTTTTTCTCTCCTTCTATTATTTAGGAGATAATACTTCCTTCAAACTAGTACGACC